TTGACATTATTTTGTTTCCGTGCCAATCCAATCGAGTTAATTATGCATGTGAGTTCTATGAGTTCTCATTTGAATGCATAAAAGGCAAGGACCTTGATCAATGAAAAGTACATTGATAAGAAAAGGTGAGCTGCTTAACTACTTGGAATACATGGTGGGCAGTTGTGCTACCATAAGGCAAGAAATCAAGATTAAGAAAGTTCGATCCATATGAGTTTGAATTTGTCGTAAACTTTGGTTTTGACCAATTCACATGGATAGGAACAAATACACCATTTAAATCTAAGTGTCATAAGATTTCCTCCTTCATGAAAATGATTGTGAGGAAATGCTTTCACTAAGAAAGATTTTAAGAAGATAGTGATTGTAAAATTGCATTCTCGAATTCGATTATGGTTACGGTATCCCTTTCCATAATTTGAATTGTGGGGTTTGGGAATTAGTCTTAATTGTTTAGACACACATATGAACTATCAAAGGAAAAGGTGTATAAGTTCAAGAAGCCTTGATAAAAGATTATCAAAGCACTAAGTATTAGAAACATGAACTTAAGAAATTCAATAAGTATTGTTTTTCTGAAAGTTAAGATGTTTATGAATACATGTCAAAGCTAGTGGGAGCATAAGTGTTATGTTTTATAATAATCATCATGATAGTAGGAGCATAAATGTTATGATTGTATGATTATTAAGGCACGTATTGCAAGTTGGCAATATTAATTATAGAAAACAAGAGTTATACCTTGCAAAGTGGTAAGGGTTGTAAAGTTGTTTTGCTATAATTAAGGGAGAGAATATGATGCTTCATTTCAAATCTAAAGGCTTAGGTTGAGAAATGTTAATAAATTTAATCAAAGGTACATAGTGTGTTCTTACAATTTCGATTATGATTACGGCATTCCTCTTCACAATTCAAAATTTGAGAACATAGCAGATAAAACATTATGCGTCGTGTCCCATACGCTTCGGGTATAGGATCGATTGCAAATGCTTTAATGTTTGACCATTCTAAAATTTTTCCAAATGTCTAGCGCATTTAGAGGGAAAAGGGACTAGAATTGGTTTTGACTAAAATAATTAAACAACTATCAAAGGACAATCCAAAGTTCGACGAGGATTGGTTGCTTATGAGTAGTTGGAAGCATGGTATTGAATGGACCATATCGACATTATTATGAATAGAAAAGATTCTATTAAGAATGAGTTGTTATATGGAAATTATGGAAATGTTTCCATATTGGATGGACCATATCGACATCATTACGAATAGATAGATTCTATTAAGAATAAGTTATCATATGGAAAATATGGAAACGTATCCATATTAGGAATTGAATATTGAAAAATCTATGACTAGATTAGAAACTTTTAAGCAAAAGGATGTTCAAAGGAATGTACTTTGAGTGAGAGACATCATATCTAAGGAATTGTCTTGTAACAATCTCCGAGAAAGGACTTTGTATTTTCATTGGCAATAGTCTTTGTGACTTTGGTGCAGTGATATTACGAAAGGATGATTGCATAAAATGTTAGAATCTAGCATATTCTATAAGTAGCAAGAATTTGATATTCTTACACTTATGAAAAAGGATTTGGAGTTTTGAAATGAGAATGATTGGAAATGTGTTCAATTTGATCTATTTCACAAAGTAAGAATCATAGGTAAACATTGTGTGCATGCTAGGAGCATGGGACAAGTGTAATAATTCAAGTAAGAAGTTGATTACCCGAAATGAAAAATAATGAGTAATCGATATGTTGATAAATAAAAGGAGTTTTATTTATACTCAAAGGTTTGAGGCCATATGGGATTAGTATTATTCTTGTGTTTCACTTTGCATGTTTTGACTTCCTGAATAATTTAATTGGTTTAGAACAGTCAAATTATTCGAACGGGCCACAGTCGTTCATATGTTGGAAGTAGATATGAATGAAGACTGTCGTGAATTGGTGTGTGGATTGTCTAAAAGAGTATTAGACATAAGCAAATGTTTGCTGCAACGTTCATGAGAGCTTATGAATATGAATTTGAGCATTGGATTAAACCCACGCTCACTTGGATCACTCCATGAATTGTATCACGAGTGATTGGTGAGACGATAACATCTTATATTCTTGAAACCGAGATGTGTGAGTTGTATCTTGTTAATCGGTTGCACATTGATAATATGTAAACGCACTAGTAACTTGGTGTTATAAAACATATTGTTGTGTGTGATTTGATGAGTGAGTGCAAGCAAGCATTGTATCAAAGTTTATCCGTTCCTTTTATCCAAAGAAGGATAAAAGCGATATCTTTAGGTCCCTCGATGATTTAGTGATGAAAAACGTAAATGCTCGGCCGGGCTAGGGCTAATTTGATTTGTTCAATTAGTCAGTCGTCATAAATTGGGAATCAAGAAATGGTACAAAGAGAATGATTTGAAATCATGTCTCATACGATATCTAGAATGGAGGAATATATGATCCCTTATCTAAAGGACACGCGTATCTGATAGAATCAGAGTTGACAGCAGCTTTGGAAAGCTATGATTGCAGATCAGGATATGAAGTCGTACGCATAATAGGTATTAGACTTATCCAAGTGGGAGACTGTTGGATTAGTGTCAAAGTCCATAACTATTTTGGTATGTACTTGATCCGATGGTGCATGGTCCTTTTGGGTTGCCTTCACCAAAGCAACTTGATAGGATGAATTATGGAGAGAAAGGATTAAATATGATTTATTAATATATTGTGGGAATAATATATTAAAGGAGAAATCATATTGTTTAATTAATATTAGTTAGTAATTAATTGGTAATTAGTTTTGTGACTAAAAGAGATTAATTAAACTTAAGGGATTGGAATTGTAATTATAAGATAATTACAATTTGGGCCATGGATTGCCTTATTTTACCAGGTGGACGAATTCTATGGGGGAAGTCCATATGAAATCGTCCAAGGCCTTAAGGAAAGGGCTCCATGGGTTGCTTAGGGCTTAAGCATCCAAATTAGGGTTTCCTTGTTAGATAACCCTAATTGCCTCACTATATATAGATCCCTTAAGGACCAAAAATGTGCTAAGCTTCTTGCTAGGGTTTCACATGAGTTTTGGTAGCCTCCATCGTCTCTCCTCTTCATCCTCTTGCTTATGGTGTTTGTAAACCATTAGAGGAGTGACACTTGTGACTCTAAGCCTTCCAAAGTCAATACAAGGAATTTGGGATGGTTATTGCTACATAACAATCAAGGTAACATTATAAACCTATTCTCATGTTAATATGATTATTTGAATGCTAGAATTTGTGTTTATAGTCTTGGATAACTTGCATGTATAATAGAGAAACCTAGATCCAAGCATTAGGGTTTGTATGAGCAAATAGGATGTTCTTAGGACCAAAACCCATCATGGAGAACTTACTTTAGAAAACTCTAGGGAAGATTTGAGAATTTTGCTTCCAGCAAGATCCTTAACTTTGTTCTTGGGAGGAGTAGGTGAGAGAATAGGAGAAAAGTGAGAGGGAAATGTGAAAAGTCCAAATTTCCTTCTACTATCGTGCTTAAGAGTAAGAAAAGGGAGGGAATCCTTGGGGCATGGGGATATGATGGTCCAAGCTTTGTTATTTGGTGGGTAAAGCATGAGATACTGTGATTTGCATGGGAAATGAGAATTTCATCAAATCACAAAGTCAACCTAATTGTCCTTATCTTGATTTAGGATAAGATCTTCCTAAATCCCAAACTTTTATTTTATGAAAATATGATTTAAATAATCAAATCTGGCATAAAATAGAGGTTTTAGGGGTCTCAATTAAGAAAAACACGAGTTCGGTGTCCCGATTTCTATTTCATTTTCCTTTTCTTCTATATATATGTTCACTATCTAAACAACCTTTCTAACTGTATGTATGCATGTGTTTAACTATTTGTATGATCAATTGTCCCGATTGTATGTGTTTAACTCAAATTTAATGTTTCTGCCTTTTTCATCACCAACATATTTTCCGGTCGTGACTTTCCAAAAGCCACAACTGATGATTGATTGGTTGCCTATTTTTTATTCCAAATACTAACTGGAGCTACCCATCTTATCATCAGGTTGGAGTGGCTACGTTTCAATTGAGTCCGACTTTATTTCTCCTTTTTGAATACATTGAAATGGGCAGCTTATATCATAACACAGAGACACTCCTGAACTTCTACGATTTAATGGCAATTAGTATCCCTCCTTACAAGCTAGCACCTAATGTTATGGTTGGGGTATCAATACATTAATTTGTTGCTATTTTTTCAGGTTTTCTTTGAATGCTTTTTACAAGCATTAAGTTTTTTTTTTTTTGGTATTATATATATTTTAAAAAAGATGAAATTTTCAAAGTTGTTTTACTTTACAGACCCGTGTTGTATATTTTTTATAACCTAGGAAGAAAAATAGTAAGAGGTATTACCACATCATGTCTCTCACATACATATGGAGATGGTAACAACCTATAACTTAAGGTATGACCAACTTACCCCTGAATATTGTGGTCTGATCTATTATGTCCATTTATCATCGGATCAAGGAAAATGGTGGTTGAAATAAGCTGAATCATACAAAGAAAAGATGGTCAAAGTCTAATATCGGTTCAGATCGGTTAGGATGATTATTGGACCTTAGATTATGGTATTTCTTTCTTTACTTGGTCGTGTGGGTGTGGGTGCATTAGTTGATCGGTAGAAATTTTTTTCTTCTTTTTCTTGATGTCTAGGTAATTCCAAGTTAAAAGCTTCTTTAACTTATCACATTATCTGGACTAGTGAGTGTATAGTGAAGGAGAAAAGTAAATGGTTCTCATACTTTCATACAGCCTAAAGAGCCAAACATGTTCGTTATCCTTTGTTAAATACCTACCTTTGATATTCAAATGAGTGGATATAGAAGAATATTTTCATGAGATCAGTCTTTATTTTGTTTAAGTATGATGTTGTAAGAAAATGATATTCAGAAAAAATAATTTACTGAAAAATATGTTGTTCAATTAGTGAAATATGAAAACTATGTTCAAATTAGAAAAAAGACAATCTGTTTACAACATCACCTCCCATCACTGTTTACAACACCCACCACCATTCACCACATTCCCTCTCCCTCCATCGCCCCTCCTTTCCTGTCAAGAACCAAAACCAAACACCCACTTGAGCCTATCGATTTTGTAACAAAAGCAAATCCAAATATCTATTTTGTTCATTCCATAGATTCATGTTGAAACAAAAAAATCCCAACAGAAACTTTTTACCTGTTGTTGATCAGAACTACCAGAATGAGGGGGAAAGCATGGCGATTGTAGAGCAAACACCACGGAGACCTCGTTGCCCTCCTCGCCATCTTCCTCTTCTGTTCCCAACGACCCCAGGCCTCCGAAGGTCTCACCTCGTCGCTACCGCTGCTCGCGACACTCATGGAAGGTTACTTTTCTTCGGTCTATTCTCCTCCTTCGGTTCAGCCAAGCACCGGAGCCGTCTCCCTCTTCGTGATCGGCCGCGTGCCTGCGGGCTTCCTTTTCGCCATCTGATTTGGTTGCTCCCGTATCACCTTTTCCTTCGTTGCGCGATCGACCTTTCCTCTTCACACTTCTCGTCGCCTTCATTTGTACTGCCGTTCCTTTTTCTATTATCCCGATCAAACAAAAGACACAAACAGAAAAGCCCTAGAAATCCTTTTAACTTCGATAAAATAACCAATAAACCCCCCTGGTGCAACCTTCTTTAAAAATAAGCTCCAATCCCTTTTAAAAATGGCAAAAATACCCTTACTATTTAAACCCTTATTGAAAATCAGTCCAAACCCAAATCCTCCAATCCATTTGTTTAAAACAGTCCTATTTATCTAATTAAATTACCAAAAAGCCCCTATGCCTTAGTAAAATTACAAATCAGCCCCCAATAGTTTAAATTCGTTACAAAATGGTCCCGAGAGTATTTCAAAGTTGAAGAATGGTGGATTTGCAATTTTAGATGACAAGTTTCTCAAAACAAAACGAATTCGAACAAATTGAATTCACACTTCAAGTTGAGTGTTTA